ATTGCGGCTTTGTTCCTATCAAATGCTTTTTGTTCTTCTTCAGTCCAACGCCATCGCTGTCTGTTGCCTGTTAGCATGTGTAAATTAACGCAAATAGAGTGTAAATGTGGAATAAATCTCTCATAAAAGTTGATGAATCCGAGGAAAGATCTGAGATCCTTGGTGTTCGTTGGCGGTGACGCTTTTAGTATTGCCTCGAGTTTTCGATTTGTGGGACTTATTCCGTTCTTGTCTATCGTATGGCCTAGGTATTCAATTTCTGTTTGAAAAAATGTGCACTTTTTGAGATTTACCTTAAGTCCCGCTTGTTCCAGTTTGTCAAAGACCAATGCAAAGGTCTGTAGGTGTTCATTATCATTTCGACCAGTTAAAGCGATATCATCAAAGTAGACTGCTACGTTTGGTATTCCCTCCAAGAGTTTGTCCAAATAGTGTTGAAATATAGATGGGGCTGTTGAGATACCAAAAGGCATTCTGTTATATTGATAATATCCCTTGTGCGTTGCGATTGTGAGATACCTCCTGGACTCCGGAGCCACTTCAAATTGAAGGTATGCGTATTTCAAATCGATTTTTGAAAACTTACTACCATTTGAAAGGTTTTGGCGCAGTTGCTCAAATAAGGGTACAGGGTGCGCATGTGTCATTAATACTGGGTTTGTGGTGGTACGAAAATCTCCACAAATTCTTATTTGACCGTTCGGCTTCACTACATTGACGGCTGGTGTTGCCCATTCTATCGGCGTAATGTTCGGGTCTACCTTTCAAATGATGTTATCATTAACTAGGCGTTCTAGTTCGACCTCTATGTTGCGTTTCATAGAGAACTTGATAGGGCGTGGGTGAAAATGTTTAGGTTCAGCCTCGGGCTTTATGTGTATGTTGACCAAATAATTTTTAACTTTCCCCAGTTTGTCGTCGAAGAGTGTTGGATGTACAGCTAAAACTTCTTTTAATGTCTTGGGTTTGAATTGTACTGAGTATACTTGGTCTGGGAATCTCATGTTGAAATTTTCGCTCCAATTCAGGCCAAAAAGCATCGGGGTAGCGTTTTCCATAACAACTACAGGTAAGAGCTTCTTTTCGCTATCAATTTGTACTGTCACATCTGTCAGACCCTTGGGTTTCAACTTAGTATTGCCATAAGCCCGGAGTGTTGGTGCCTTACTCAGTTGTTGAGCTCCAATTTTTTCCCAGAAACTAACACTTATGATTGAATATACTGAACCTGGGTCCCAGTCCATTGTGCAAGGTCGCCCATTTATGTGTACATTGACGCTTTTACTCTTACGTAATCTATTTTGCATTTTGTACACAGCTGGCCCACTCTCTTCATCAGAGTCGCTGTCGCTATCTAATGACGATGAGTCCAGACGATGCTTAATGTCGTTAATTTTGTTAAGTTTGACATTGTACGGCTTTTTAAAACTTATGTATGCTCTTCCGGATTTTATGCAACAGCTCTCAAAGTGTCCCTCTTGATTGCATGCTTCACAAGTATGGTTCCTGGCTGCACATCCTTGTATGTCGTGTTTGACTCGTTTACCGCATCTCTTGCATTGATTGGGCTGCAGCAACCGGCGTGCACTGCGAGTTCCTTTTTGCTCATAGTTGTCCTTATGAACTCTCGTAGATGTATAGTTGGCCTTATGAGCACTCGTGGTAGGTGTGGCATCATCGTGTTCCACAAGTTCTCGAGACTGTGCTATCGCGAAGATTTGTGCAAACGTTACCTCTGTCGTTTTGCCCTCGTATACTTCTTGGAGATCTGACCATTTTTGCTTAAGGTCGATTTGAAGTTCTGCGTGGTTTAAGCCCGTGGCAAAACGATCACGTAACTACCTTTCCAGCAACGGTCCGTCGTACCCACAATATTTACTAAGATGTTTTGGCGGTTATTTTATTACGGTTGGCGTACCGTTCCATGCTTTCGTTTTCTTCTCGGGTAGAGTTCCAAAAATCATCCAATGCTTTGAATCTTGTTCTTCTAGTGCGAAATAAATCCAATAATTTATTTTTGACATCCTCATAGGTCGCTCTTTGAAAATTGGGTGTGAGTGCAACTTTTATTTCATGGAATACTTGTGGTGATAGGCATGTGAATAATAAATCTTTACGCATTTCAGTACAACCTTCTCTTATTATGTCGCATTTTGTTTCGAAATATTCCACAAAATTTTCTACATCTGTTGATTCGGGTTTAAATTTTTCACATTCAAATTTCTTAATAATATTAATTTTTGTGTTCGATAAAGTAGACTCTGTTGATGTCGTACCTGTATTCTCCGGCGTTGTCGGAACTGTATTCTTATGTTGTAGTAGTAAAGTATTCAATAGGTCGTTAATCTGTTTTTGTTGCGTTTGTTGTATTTCTAAAAATTTGTTAAATTGTTCTGTATCCATTTTATTAATACTCCTCGTCGCCAATTAAATAATACGAAATAAGATGCTTTTCAGTTGAAAAATATAATTTAATTAATTTGACAAAATAACAACATCACTCAAGGTTAACTAATACAGGCATACTCTATGTTATACGAAAGGAGTCTACAACATTTATATACTTTGCTTTATTGTATGGAGTATGATATTTATTTATGTATTTCAAATTTTATCCAGAAACACAATATTAAACTGTAAATACTTATATGAAAAAATGATGAGAGTGAAATTTTAAGATGCGCGCGCATCACTGTAACACAAAAATTTTGTGTTTACCGCACATTAAGAAAATCTACCAACAAAATAGAAATAGAATCTCTATTTAGTGGGTGCTAACGACTGCATTGTGAAGGCCTATCAAAAGTATTTATTAATCTGGAACAACGGAACCAAAGCGCGATTCAGGAGACTACAGCGCCATCTCTTGACCATTGGTGTAGTAGAACCAAAAACCACATCTTTATTTTTTGTAATAAAGTAACAGTTATAGGTATTCATATTTATAATATTTATCCACATATTTCTAGTTTGTATATTCGGAATACGTGTTTGAGTTTCATACAAGTGCAAATCACATATGTTCTAATAAATTATATTCAGTAGCGATTTTAATTGAATATCTTGATTTTTTTTTTTTCTAATTAAAACTGAACTTTATTGACTGTGTCCTTTTCGGGACTTTTTATTAATTTATTGTAATTAATTATTTGCATGCAATTAAAAACTAATTTTAAACGATGCCAAAGAAGGATAACTTCTCACGCGCCTACATAGGTACACGCACCTATTTTTTTTATCTAGTTTCCCTACCTTAACACTTCTATGTGGCTGACGCACAAAACGAGCAGGCTATAAAAAAACGGAGTTTGTGGCGGAATTTCATCGAGTGCGGTTGGCGTCCTAATTTAATTATTCTTAAATTCGTTCATAGTGGATATTGTGAAATAAAATTGGTGTGATTTTGTGTTACAACCGTCTGCACAACTGAAGAATTAGTAGAATCTATAAAATATACGCTATTCCGGTCAAGTGGACGTGAGAACTTTATTGTAGTGTTGGTCACGAAAGCTTATCAAAAAAGCCAAATCTATACATTTCGTGCCAACACTCCAAGAAACATTTGAATGTGTCACATCGACATTCTAATGCAATAAAAAAGAAGATTAATATAACAACAGTCCAGGCTGTATGGGCATTGTTCCCTTTGCCTTTCCTAAAACGGGAGAATCTTAAAAAAAACATCAGTCTTCCTTTCATTCTTTAACACACATCACTATAGCTTAGCTGTAATGTTCTGTGCTTTAGCTTCTTTATAGAGCATGACAAGACAATACACTGGTGTCGATTATAAAGGATTCTCTAAACTGAATACTAAATTTAATATCAGTCTCTCCTTTTCATTCTGTATACACGGATGCACTGTTGTCAAATTTAAGTTTAGATAAGTTTAGACAATCATGTCAGGATCGGCCGATTTTTTTAAATCGGACCTAGGGACACGATATCGAATAGAAAGTATCGATACTGTACTCATGAGTAGGATCGGAAAAAAGTATCGTACTCGTAAAAGTATCGATACTTCGAAGTATCAAGTACATTTCCCCCCCCCCCCCCCGTTTAAAATTGTAAGGAAACCCCCCCCCCCCCCCGTTTAAAATTGTAAGGAAAACAATCTCTTCATAATGAATTTATATTACAAATTCACAAATTGCTATGTTATCTAGCTACTCTTAAAAATGTGTAATGTTAATATAATCAACTGCAAAACCAACTAAACGTGCGGAATTACATAAATAATGAACAGAAAATAGCTGAGATTTCTGACAATAAAAAAGTGTTCATTAATATAACATTTAAAATCAATATTTTAATTAAAAAGATAGAAATATTAAACAATTTAAAAGTATGGTACTTTACAGACTTATTACAAAATAAACTTACTTTTCTTGAATTTTAGTCATTAAAAAACATTATACCCATTTATGTTAACTTGAACCTAATATGCGGTTAACGGCGGCCATTAGTATGGTTCACTTAAGATTATACGAGGTTACGTCCGTCTTTTTTTCAGGTCTATGGTTTCAAATGTGTATACACAGCACAGACACAATAATAGTGTTACACTTGAATCAAATACGGTCAAAGCGAAAAGCACAGCAAACAATCAATCACACTTCGTAATAAAGTGATCACTAAATAAACTATGAAACAAAACAAAGCGCAAAATATACACAGTCACAGATTGGAAAGAATCTGAATATGTCAGTTACTTACTGTCCTAATTCGATGGCGTCATCTATTCGTCTCAGGACACTAGATTGCTTGTGCTTACAATTATATCAACGCAATGGAATGTTTTACAAGGTTTGCTATGATTCAACAAAATGGCGTTGCTATCAATATCAGGCGCATATCCAAATTTTTAAAGGTATCGATATTTGCTAAAGAGTACTCATTTAGTAAAAGTATCGAATACAAAGTATCGAGTACTCAAGTACCGGTATAGAAAGGAAAAGTACTTGATACCACAAAGTATCGATATTTTTTTCGTGTCCCTAATCGGACCTGACAGCTCTGGTGAGACAACCGCATAGATTTGAAATTATTTTGTAGGTTAAAATAAATGATAAGAGTTTTACATTATTTAACGTGCAAGGAAAGTAAGTAATCACATATTAACATGATTTACAGTTAAGTTCGAGTTCTGAACTATTTCAGATCTAAAAATATATTTAATCTGAGAATAGGTGAAAATACTTATTGTTATGTCACAATCAGAAGCCAGTTCTGGTGAATCAAACCATGAAAAAGAAGTTAATTTAGACTCCATTTTAGAAGACCAGTGGATGGTAAATGTAGCTTTTGTATAATTTATTATGTGTGAAATAGACAAATCATTACATGTAAAATAATTGTTGTTGTTCATCAGATAAGAGATTGTGAAATTTATAAAGATGAATACAAGGAATGCACAAGTTTTAAAGGAAGATTTCATCAATATTTTATATACGGACATACTATAGACTGCATTCAGTGGAAAAAGGATAATGACAATTGTTGCAAATGGGTCGACAATAAAGATACTAAAGCTGCTGTAAGTAGATTAATCAGTAATGTAACTATAAAATACTTTGTCTCCAGTATACAGCTATCAAGCTCTTTTCTCCATTATTTACTTTATGCTGTCATTTGCAAAAATTTTAGGTCACCAAATGATTTCAGGGTTAAGACTCATTTATACTATGCAATTTTCTTGTACATAGAAGAATGTATTGTGTATGTGTTGTTTACACCAAGAAAAGTTTTGAAACAAAACTTCCATAACATACCATGAATGTTATGTGTTGTTAAGACCAACTATGCAAGTCATTGTATGCTACAGGCAAGAAACTTGCCGATCTAATTTAATATTCTTTACAACATGCAGGGGCATTGGTTGTTGTAATTTGTTGCTAGCACTTGAAAATATAAGATAATCTATTTGTCCTTATGCTCAGCTTTTAGTTTAAAAGCATTTATAAATATTTTATATGTTTTAGGAGTGTTTAAGGGTATTTGATTTTTACAAATTGACCGTTGAAAGCAACTATTATAGTTATGATACATCAGTGTTGATTCTGACATGATTATCTAAACCTAAACTTAAATTTGACCGAAGTGTATGCTTGTTGTTCTCTATACAGTATGTTAAGAGCCCTTTTACAAAATTGCGCCTCTCTTGTTTAGGTAAATACGGCCGCGAGCGTGTCCGAGTCGCATGAGCGAGACATCGACGCGGCGATGTTTAGTATAGCGCGCTTTACCAAATTGATACTTTAATATGTAATTATTGATTATACAATAAATGCCATTATATAATAAAGTTAATTTGAAGTGCTAAGATGGATCCCTACTGTAGCAACGAACGATTCTAGATAGGAATCCTGAGTGGAGCAAAGGATACAAGGATTAAGTTTTTTTACTATTGTGAGAAAATAACGGATAAATAGTGCAGGATGAACGGGTTTATAATAATTGTTTTCCTCAAGTAGTTTCAGTTTTGTTTATTGAAATTTGAAATTAGTGTGTCGCGAGGTCAAGATCAAGGGACACGTGAATGCGAATTTGGTGCAAAGTTCGTTTGAATTGAATGATTATTTTATGAGTTTAATTTGTAATTTATTTTCTAAACATTTAAATGACTATAATGTAAAGTGAATACTAAATAAAGACCCCGTCGTCGTCGTTGCGTCGCGCCCGTAGACCAGTCACCGCGTAGTTGATATGAACCCCTCAACTCTTGCCGTTATCACGTCAACTAGTTGAAGAATTCAACTAGTTGATCGACTAGTCGATGGACGGTAGTGGACGGTTTAGTTTCGTCGATGAAAAATACGTCGTAGACCCACCTCTAATAAACAGATATAGGCAATACTGGAAATACATTTCCAATCTAGACACAGATATAGTACGTAAATCAGCAAGTTACTGTCAATTGAACTTATGGAGCAAAGAAGTCTAGAAATGCATCCCATTAGTTTGAGTTTAAAACAAAAAACCAAACTGCTAACATTGTAAACTATGTACCTAGTGTAGTAGTGAAATGCCCATTAAGTCAGTATAAAACAGATAAAATATTTACATTTGAGTTTGATGCTTCCCTTTGTTCCTCGGCTTCGATTTCCAATCCAACAGCATTTTTTTCCTATATAAATTAATTTATTATTATAAATTTAAATAATAATAATTTTATTGTTATAAATTTAATTTCTTTTTTCATTGTCTACTTCCAATAACAATATGAAAAACTTACAGTTTCCGTTGCAATCGAATCCATTGAACTTATGGTCGGTATAGTTTCACTATTTTCGGGGTTGCCATTAAAATTTTGTTTCCATCTAAAATAAATAGAACTGTGAATTTCTATTCTAAATATATTATTATGTTGGGCCAATATGTACTTTTGCCGCCCACGAGCTTATACTTGTTATACTTGATCGAAATGCAACATTTTACCGTACTCTAGCTTTTTTTTACGGACATAAGGGTAGATTGTAAGCTTAAGTTTAAATCAGGGAATGTAGGGTGGTCACAACTGGCCGTTTTATTGGAAAACGCGTTTATAGCTATATCTCCTAAATTATTGAAAAATTATTTAAAAGCATTTATAAATATTTTATATGTTTTAGGAGTGTTTAAGGGTATTTGATTTTTACAAATTGACCGTTGAAAGCAACTATTATAGTTATGATACATCAGTGTTGATTCTGACATGATTATCTAAACCTAAACTTAAATTTGACCGAAGTGTATGCTTGTTGTTCTCTATACAGTATGTTAAGAGCCCTTTTACAAAATTGCGCCTCTCTTGTTTAGGTAAATACGGTCGCGAGCGTGTCCGAGTCGCATGAGCGAGACATCGACGCGGCGATGTTTAGTATAGCGCGCTTTACCAAATTGATACTTTAATATGTAATTATTGATTATACAATAAATGCCATTATATAATAAAGTTAATTTGAAGTGCTAAGATGGATCCCTACTGTAGCAACGAACGATTCTAGATAGGAATCCTGAGTGGAGCAAAGGATACAAGGATTAAGTTTTTTTACTATTGTGAGAAAATAACGGATAAATAGTGCAGGATGAACGGGTTTATAATAATTGTTTTCCTCAAGTAGTTTCAGTTTTGTTTATTGAAATTTGAAATTAGTGTGTCGCGAGGTCAAGATCAAGGGACACGTGAATGCGAATTTGGTGCAAAGTTCGTTTGAATTGAATGATTATTTTATGAGTTTAATTTGTAATTTATTTTCTAAACATTTAAATGACTATAATGTAAAGTGAATACTAAATAAAGACCCCGTCGTCGTCGTTGCGTCGCGCCCGTAGACCAGTCACCGCGTAGTTGATATGAACCCCTCAACTCTTGCCGTTATCACGTCAACTAGTTGAAGAATTCAACTAGTTGATCGACTAGTCGATGGACGGTAGTGGACGGTTTAGTTTCGTCGATGAAAAATACGTCGTAGACCCACCTCTAATAAACAGATATAGGCAATACTGGAAATACATTTCCAATCTAGACACAGATATAGTACGTAAATCAGCAAGTTACTGTCAATTGAACTTATGGAGCAAAGAAGTCTAGAAATGCATCCCATTAGTTTGAGTTTAAAACAAAAAACCAAACTGCTAACATTGTAAACTATGTACCTAGTGTAGTAGTGAAATGCCCATTAAGTCAATATAAAACAGATAAAATATTTACATTTGAGTTTGATGCTTCCCTTTGTTCCTCGGCTTCGATTTCCAATCCAACAGCATTTTTTTCCTATATAAATTAATTTATTATTATAAATTTAAATAATAATAATTTTATTGTTATAAATTTAATTTCTTTTTTCATTGTCTACTTCCAATAACAATATGAAAAACTTACAGTTTCCGTTGCAATCGAATCCATTGAACTTATGGTCGGTATAGTTTCACTATTTTCGGGGTTGCCATTAAAATTTTGTTTCCATCTAAAATAAATAGAACTGTGAATTTCTATTCTAAATATATTATTATGTTGGGCCAATATGTACTTTTGCCGCCCACGAGCTTATACTTGTTATACTTGATCGAAATGCAACATTTTACCGTACTCTAGCTTTTTTTACGGACATAAGGGTAGATTGTAAGCTTAAGTTTAAATCAGGGAATGTAGGGTGGTCACAACTGGCCGTTTTATTGGAAAACGCGTTTATAGCTATATCTCCTAAATTATTGACTGTACGGAAAAAATGTAGTGTTTTTTTGTTTATTACTAAATTCTCTAACTTCTTTCTCTCAAACTTTTTATTGTAACTCTTACCGTTTTTCAATTGTTGTTGTTTATTTGAACATGTTTGTAGTTTTTCCTTTATAAAACCTTAAAAATGCCATTAATTGATAAAAAACGTCGTATACAAGTTATCCGTGATTAAATTCCCTACAAGTCATGTATATTTTTTTTTATTAAATAAATACTTTTGAAGTTAATAGTCGTTCATGTGCGCAAAAACGGGCATTGAAATGAAATTACAGAAGTATCCTAAAAATTCACTTACTTTCATACAAATTGAAGCTGATGATGATTTGTGTTGGATTGTTATCAATTAATTGTAAAAAAAAGTAATAAAAAAATAGGGGAAAAAATATAAATATTATAAATAATATTAGTGATGAGAATCAATTGCACATATACAAAACTCTGATTTACTGCGTTATTGCTACGTTAACGACTCATTACTTCAAAAGTATTTATTTAGTAAAAAAAAGATATATGCAAAAGTTGTAGGAAATTTAATGATGAATAACTTTCATAACATGTTTTTTTATAAATTAATGGCATTTTAAAGGCTTTAAAAATAAAGCGAAATGTTATAAGCATATTCACTTTGCTTCACAACCTTTCTTTATGGCTGCATCATTCTTCCGTTTTCTTTTTTGACACAAGCAGGAATTTTACGCCCCATTGTAAAAGCCAATAACGAAAATATTAGTTGAAGCAACGATTTAACTAGGATTAATAACTAGGGAGGTGCTTATAATAATAAAAATTAATACGGTTGTGGAAACTTGCATACAGTCAACGATTAAAGTTTTGCGGTCGTAGTATATCCAGCCAGTTTTACGATGAATGCACTCGTAGCATCGCTCGGGACGCGTGCGGTACAAAGCGACACAGGTCCGATCTCCAAAGGCGCTGGCGCCGTACTGAACGGCGCCTAGATTTGCACTAGTATATATTGCATTTTACGGGTGATGTTCAGAGTCTTATAATGAACTTATTATAAAAATATATACATATTTCAATAGTTCAATGATTGCAGATTAGTTTTATGAAAGTTTTTTATAGTAATTCTATTTAATTCAATATCAAAATACGAGGTAAACCTGCGTTATTTTTTGGGGAAACTTACGGAGGTTAGATGTTTTTTTAATAATTAATGAGATGGAAAATCAAGATTCTAATACATTATGTTGCAACAAAAACATATTTCTGATGTTATAGTAATTAATTTGATCCAATTTATTGAACATTATTGTGAGATTTAGGCGTTTTAAGTTGTGCATATTATCGTTTTT